GCATCTTTTTAATTTTTTGTTTGTTTTTTGCTTTTATGGTAACTGGGTTTTTTTTTTTTTTTTTTTAAAAATTTACCTTTAAAAAAACTAAATTTTTTTTTTTTTTTTTTTTTTTTTTTTTTCATAAAATCTATAAATACAGATACGTTGAGTTCAAGTTATTGTGCTATTGTGCCTTTCCCTTCTTCTTGGTCCCAATGTAGACTCCTTTATAATTAATTGAAATAGCTGATTACAGGTCAACTTAAACCTGAGTCTAAAATTGTTTAAATGCAGTGTTGCCTTAGAATATTGATGTAACAGAAAATGAAAGATGAAGCAACAGCGGCATTCAAACTTGTGGATAAATTGGTCAGTTGGAAATGATTTGATCTTTGAGCTTCTCTAATTGTCTTATCTTTAATGGATTTGTTTGTTATTTAAAATATATCCTGAGGGTAATGTAAAATTGATCACAAAGCTCACTAGTCTGCTTAATTATTATGTCTCATTCCATCTGAGCAGTGGGCACTTATTTTGCTGATTACTATGTAACATCTGGTTCATCTCAAGATGAGATGAATTTGATTTTTTGGGGAATTGCATGTTAAGTGCTCATGCTGCCATCAAAAGTAATGAGGAGGGCTTGCTTCCTTCATAGAAGTAGCAAAAGCCTGTACTGTTGGTTACCTAAAGCAACCACAACGATTGTATTATATTATAATAATACAGCATTATTGCCATTGAATATTGCTGGTGCAGCCTTGCAGTATCATCAGTAGAGGCTGATAGTTTTAGATGTGGAATTTTGAAAGATAGCTACTTATAGCTTGGTTGATGTCTTAAAAAGCAAAAAAAAAAAAAAAAAAAAAACCAACAGTTTAAAGCAAAACTTTGTGTTACATCACTTAGTGTTCATTTTTTGCTTTTTTTCTAAAGTCCCTTCAGGCAAATTTAGTCAGTAATTTGTACATATTGCATGTCTAGCAATGCTTCATAATATTGATATTCATAAATGAATATAAATGAAGATGCAAAGGTGTAACAACTACATTTTTGTTTAACTTGATCTGTGTCCATTCTGCACAGAATCATAGAACAGTTTTTGTTGGAAGGGACCCTTTAAGATCACTTAGTTCCAACCCCCATGCTATAGGCAGAGACACCTCCCTCTAGACCAGATTGCTCAAAGTCCCATCCAGCCTGGCCTTGAATGCTTCCAGGGAAGGGGAATTCACAACCTCACTGGGTAGTCTCTCCAGTGTCTCACCCTCATGGTAAAGAATTTCATCCTAATATGTAGTGTAAATTCACCTGGACCTATACTTTTGCTATGTTTTTTAAAAAAAAGTTATGCTTTCACTTCAAAGACAATACGCTAAAATGATCAGAATAAAAGTATGAAACTACATTAGTAACGGCTAGAGGATTTTGGCTGATGCATCTCTAACTGTCCAAGCTTGGGTTATGTTATTACAGAAATGCAGGCTTTCCTACAGTTCTGACACTATCTGGATGCAGTTAATGAAACGAAGCAAAGTGAGCAAGTTTTGCAGATGAAGTTGAATAAATTTTTTGGATACATCAATGTAGAAGAACTTTGTCCAGTTCTCTCTGGCTAATATAGTAGCAACATTTTCAAAGTCATTTCAGGTGTTCATTACACTTGTCTTCCCACTATTCTCATACTTTCCGAGCAGGAGATGCAAATCTTGTCAAGTATACTGTTGTGTCAGTAATTTGTAGATGATGAAATCTGACTTCATTATATACTTTGGATTTACATTAAGGTTAGTATTTACCTTTTATCATCATAAAAAAAAAAAGTTGAACTTTTTTTTTTTTTTTTTACTGACTTCAGAAGTACTCTTAAAATTTGCAATAATTATTCTGACCTGTTGGTAGACCTAGATGCTACTATTGTGTTCTAGCAAATGCTCTACTGAAGTAGAAAAATATTCTGTCCTTGGGTTTCTGTCCCATTCTTCATCTCTCAGTTATGGAGGAAGGAGCTATGCAAAATTGAATGCTACCCACTTTTTGATATTGTATGCAAGCTGTTCTTGTTTTGTGCTTTTACTCTTTTAAATGAAACCAAAACAAAAACAAAAACAAAAAACATCTGAGAAGTACTTCTGGAAGCCTGTAGTAGTTTTTGGTGTAACAAGTATGTGTCTTTGCCTTTATCAAGGAAGTTGTATTTCTTGATAATGGCTTGTAATTTAGGAACTTGAATTTCTTTAATAAATCATATCATTCATTTTTATTTTTTATTTTTACCAAAGTAAGTCAAGTGTTACAGTCTTTATGGATGAATATCACAAATTAGTTTCAACAGGAGTCAGTCACATAGAATAGCTTGTGATGCTCTGCTTCAGTTCAGTTTGCAGTTGATGTAAACTAGCTTGGACCTGCTGACAGAAAATGGGTTGAGAGGATTGGGGTGGTCTGGTAAAAGTTCTTAAGCATACCTTAATTTTGAAAAATATTTGATAGAAAATACTGAAATCATTAGATGCCTTATTCTGTCATTAGTCTCTCTTAATTACTGAATCAATGTGGAGAGTGATGTAAATCCATTCAGTCTTCCAGCTTTCCATATTCCTAATATGAACATAATAGCTTACATGACAGTTGAAGTATTTAGTGGGAGAAAAAAGTCAGTTACATATTGCCAGTAGTTTAAACTAAAACCCACTCACTTTACAAGTGAATTCTTGGTGGTTGTGTGCTTGCAAGAAGCATATTCAGCAGAAGGAATTGAACGGTTCTTAACTATATGCAGTCATTTTGTGCTTTGGGTTAGGTGTTAATCTCTGGTTTGCACCGTATTACTGTCATTGAGTATTGGCATGGTGTAGTGGCACTGCTGGGTGACTGATGCTTTAGTTGTTCATGTTTGACCTAGTCCTCCTGTCCTGCCTACTCAGCAGAGGGTTGCTTTTTTATCTTTGTGTATATGTATGAGGACCACCCTGAAAGTAATGCCTCCTAGTCTTTTGTGTTGAAATCAGAGGTGGATGTTGGTGGCATGGTAATAGAGGTTGAACCTTCCCGCCAATATTCCATGACATTTTATTGCAGCAGAGAGGCAGTTTGACAAAATAGTGTCTTATGTAATAATGTGTATGAAGTAAAGGTATGTCATTGAATTCCTCCATGCAGAAAAAAATGACACCCATCAACATTCATCAACATTTGCTGAATGTTGATAGAGACCCAACAGTAGATGTAAGCACAATAAGGAGGAAAGTGGTGCATTTCAGCAGTGGCTACAGTGACTGTGGGTCACCTCTGCTGGTGCAAATTCTTAATGTGCGCAGCATGCAGGCTCTAATTCATTGCTGGCAAAAATGTATAGATTATCTTGGTGACTACTGAAAAACAGCAGTTTGTAGTGGTTTGTAAATTTGCCATCAAATCGTATTTATGTACTCTTTGTATCTGTTGTAGTTGCTGTGGAAATAAATGAGAGACATTACTTTCAAAGCTATGTATATCTGCAGATAGCAGTTCTGCATTGTGCAGCGGCCATGTCATGACTGTACTGGTGTCTGAATATACAGCAAGTCAAGTGAGTGTGCCTGTGCCTGGAGGATAGGAGAGTGTTCTGGCAAAGAGACCAGCAGCAGAGAAAATGTTGAACCAAGAACATAGGTGTTATGTCCTTGGTGCTGTTTATATGCTGCATAGAGAGATCCAGCATAGAGTTTGTTGTCATGTCCATATGGTCTAGAAGTTGTCTATGGTATTAACATAATAAAATGCTGTATTGATTGAGGTCTTGTGGACTTAGTCTGTACCTCTGACATACATACTTCTCGTTTGAAAGCAGTTCCTAAGGGGAGTTGCATGCCACTTAAAGAAGTGTGTTTGAATAGTGTGCATTATATTCTTATTATGAAAACTGAGGCAACCTTATCACTGTACATCTTAACTATGTTTTTCCTTGTTTTTTGCTGCTGATGCTTCCAGTGTTTTAAATTTTGCAGACATGAAAAGTTGCTTTGAAACCCTGAGTTTCCTGTAAAGCAGCCTTTATGCAGGCTAGTAGCACTGACAGAAGAGGAACCAGCTGTATGTAACTTTCTTTTCTTTTGAGACGTTTTTGTAGAACAGGACCCATATAAATAAGCTTTGATTCATTGGAGGAAAGCTAAAATATTGGCATTAAATTGATTTTGGTCATTTGTTCTAAACTAAGATTCACAATCTACAGATGTTTCATAGTAATCCTTAATAAATTGGACTCCTAGTATAAAAGTGTATCTTATCTTCAATTACTTGTCTAGCACATTGAAATTAAGACAGAATAAAAAGTGTCATATAGTTTCTCTTTAGGAAATCCAAGTATGTGTGTATGTATGTACATTTTTTTCGTATGTATGTGACAATCTGATTATTATTGAAGAGCAGTTCCAACTGTTAGTTTATGTAGTTTTTAATTAAATATTACAGCTAAAAATAAAATTAAACCCTACTTTTGGTAAGTCAGATGTTAATAGACCTACTAGAAGAATTAAGTAGATAATTTTTCTTTTCTTTAAAAAACAAAAGGTAAACAAAACTACCCCACATTGTGAAGCTGTTGATGTCTTCTAGCTGGCCCTGTGCTTGATACTGAAGATTCAACAAATATAAACTGTAGCTAAACCGGTGTGGATGTTAGATTTATCTAATGTTAGATTTATCTGTAAGAGGTATGAGAAGCTCGGGGCTTGTAAGAGCATCACTTTCCCAGTTAATGTTTGTATTTCTCTTTTTTACTGTTGTTACTTTTGTCATCTGGGTGTACTAAGCACAGCTTTAAAAGATGCGTATTTCTGAACAAAATCTTTTGCAGCTGTTTGTTTTAATAATTGTGGCTTACAGTAGCATTTATGAAAGCATGTATTTTTAATCTAAAGTTATCCTTTATCTGATTTTGATCGCAGTTGTTAACACTTTCTTTTACTCATAAAGGAAATAAATAGGTCATTTTTTACTTCAGTTTAATGATAAATTTTGCCAGACTAGTATCATGATATTCTTTCAACTGCCAGAGCAGCTATTGTGCAGTAATCTGTTCTTTAATAAAGCCTATCATGGATTCTCTGATTCCAGAGAAGAGTGCCTTTAATGAATGAGGTGTTAGAGAAACAATATAAATGTCCATAGAAGGAACAATTTGAAGAATGTGTTTTTCAGGACTGTACATTATTATTACAAATATGTATTTACGTGATAAGTAAGCCGTCAGTCTTGCAACAAAAATCAAATTTCAATTTCGTATTCATTTGGAGATCTGAGCTTGTAGCTAGTTTTCTCAGCATTGAAATTCAAAAAAACAAACTATAGAATATTGTCAGCATCGTGTAGGCAGACTTTACATTAAACTAGAACAAAATTAAATTTTTTAAATTATACTTTATGCCAGAATTTGCAAGCTGATCCTTAGAGTCCTGCATATTAACTTCGAATGACAGGGTTTCTACATTTTTCAGGGTTTCTACAGCTTCTGCCCACTTCACACTTTCTTACTTACTTGTACTTAATTTTGGCAATTTAAAATGAAAACATGTATACATTTAGGACACTGAATTTCATTGTTTTATTCCAATTAATACCTTAGATTTGATTATTTTTTACATGAAAGTGTCTTTTCAAGAAAATATTTCTTAAGGCATTTTCAGTATTCAAACCTGTGTTCAAGTTTGTGCAGCCTGCTTCTTAAGATATTTCTACTGCTACAGTCACAATGGATTCTATGTTAATAAATTGAAGATGAATTTTAATGTTTTCAAAGTAGTAAATCCCTGAGTTAGTATGCATCTGGGAAGGAGATGAGGGGTTAAATTCAGACTGTTTGGCAATTAGTTCAGTGATCCAACAACCCCACCTTTTAGCTGAAGAACATTGTGGTAAAGACATTACTTTGAGCTTCTTTATATTCAATTTCATTAGACCTTCCTATATACTTTATGTAAGCCCCTTGGCATTTGTTTAGCTTGAATAGTCAATAATAAAAGAGCTTAGAATTGGCTTTAAAGTGCAGCTTCTGAAGTAGGAAAAAGAGTATTCAAATTGCCTTATGTACTCAGTTTTGTTTTGTTCTCCTTGAGATTGAATACTGATGTCAGAGCAAAACTACCCTGCTGTCCTCAGGAATGTATTCCTTAAAGGGGAATACATTTACTGTGCAGTTCACTGGCTACTATCAAATGTTAATGATATATTAAGAGTAAATATCTGTGTCTCACAGGGAGACAGAGGTATTTTCCTGGAGTATTTACACTTAGGGTATGTGTGTTGGTATTAGGCTTCGTCTTTGTAAGGTACACGTGTGTGTCTGCAAATACCTGTTTGTATATTTACATGAACATATATTTATGAAAGCATATATTTTGCTTTTAGGAACTAGGCTTACCACATCTTTGTGATGAGAAACTTTTTCTCAATTCATTCAGTATTGTTAACAGCATTAACACATCACTGAACAAATTGCCCTCTTGCATTTGCTAATCCTACACTTAAAAGAACTCATTGTAACACATTTTAATGCTTTAGTTGGAGTGGAGGTGTAAATGAGAATTGAGCATAGTCATGTGACTGAAAAATGTCTAAAATGCCTTTCTCTTTGGGTCAACAGTTTGTACTTATGATATCTGAATTAAAGTAGTCTGTGTAGTTTGAGGAAAAGATCTCAAAAAAGTCTGTACTTTCGTCTTTTGTGTATGTGTGTGTTGGCCTCAGTTTTTTCATGTCAAGTCTGATCAAACAACATTTCAGCCATAATTTCACACTAGTATGAAATTATGTTGGAAGAAAAGATTTTTGTATTTATTTGTTGTGCATGTGTTGAGAGTGCCCAGCTGTATTTTGGCGCAGCTAGCAAACGAGTAGTGTGTAACCTTATTTGGTAGATACTAATTAAAGAGTAAAAGGCAAGTTGCCATATATCTCTCTGCAAGAGTAAACATACCAAAGTCTAATCTGTGTACGATGGTGGAAGAGTGGGAGAGTTTTTTATTTGTAAATGTGATAGTTAAAAAAAAAAATAATTGTTTGTATTTGCTGATGAATAAACAGCAAGACTGATTCTCCTAATACATGAAAAAACTCAGTTGAATTGAGTAATTAAATAGATGGTGACTGACTACTGAACTGAACTTTTGATAGATGAAAACCCATGCTTCTTAGAATGCATGAAGCTGTATATGCTTGCCTGGAGGACTTTGAGTTGAATTAAATGGAATGAAAGACTATGTATTTATCACATTTCTAAAACATCTATCACATCCTGTTTGAATTTTTTGGCTTATATGAAGGAATCTTGAAAGGGATTTTTGATTGACCTTGTTTTTTGTCTTTACAGAGCAATTCTCTATTGGTGCCAGACAGTCTGCGAAGCACAGATAAACGCAGGAATGGCCCTGAATATTCCAATGACATCAAAAAGAGAAAGGTGGATGATAAGGATTCCAGCCACTATGTAAGCAAATCTGCGTCAAAGAAATGATTAATTTATTTGCAGATGCTGTGTTTGTCGGAGAAGTAAAAGAGCTGTGAAGAACAAGGCAATGTATTTCCTGTGCCTGATATAGTATGTGAATATATATGCTGGAGGGACCATTAGTCATACTGTGGAAAAAACAATGACTCAATAGTTCAAGCTGTTGTTTGGAAATACTCCTTAACAGTGAATTAGAGAGCCATGAGTACCCATTCAGGATTCATGAGTGTTCCAGGACATTTCTTCCAGCAAGGTAGCATTTCTGGACTGTCCAAAAGCCTACTGTGTTTAGGCTTATTTGAAGTGGTAAAACTCATTCTTTTGGAGAATCTGGGAAGTTTTTCTGATGCTAGCTATCACCATGCTGAAAAACAGTCACACCTCAAAACTGAATACACTGTAAGGCCATACCAACTTCCTGAAGCTAGTTTTTGATTGATACAGCACTTGCAGCAGAAAACAACAAAATAGAAAACTGCAGTTTATGCTCTGCATTTTTTATCAGACTTGTGTACTACTTCATTTGAAAAAAGCACTTCAGCATAACAGTGTGGCACATGTGAATCTGAAAAGGTTTGTGGGCTTTCTATTTGAAGGCTAAAAAGCTCAACCAAATCACAGCATGATTCTTGAACAAGCCATGAATAAGGATAATATGAGAAAGTATGGGAAAGCAGATTTTCCATCTAACAGAAGTTATTTGACCTATAAAAAGTAGGGTAGAGTATCTCATTTAAATGAGTTCAGTCACTAATTAATTCTTAGTTACTGAAATCCAGGAGCCAGGTGCCTTTTTATTACTCAGTGTTGGCAGCGTTCTCTCCTCTTGAGCCCAACATACGCCTGTGTAGAAAGATATACTGTCAGTTAACCCTTAAACCAGAGCCATCAGTACAGGATCTTATTTTTCCCCTTTCTGCCCATTGTGGTGGTGTACTGTTGAGATTTTTCAAGTCCTATTATCACCATTTCTAATAACATAGTTTTGATTACAGGAAGGTCTGGCACACTTCCTCATGTTACTTCCTCATCTTTGAAGGTTCAGTATTCTGGATGCATTTTTTCTTTTACATTTGTAAAAAGTGTAATCAAAACAGATGAGCTTGCTTTTCTCGTTGTTCTCTTGGAAAGAAATGGAAAGGATATTGCACAAGAGAAGTATAGTTTATTTTAGTTTGCATTTTAAATATGCCAGATAAAGACAGTAGCAAAATAAAGAATTGAGCAAAACAAAGGTATCTGAAAGCTTCAGATATATTTTGATGTGAAAGAAGGATTGCTTCTTTTAAGATTTCTCAATTCAGCAAACACAGAACTGCTGAGTTCCAGATCACTTTAGAGAAGGGTCAAGAGGTACCACATTTGTCAGAAGGGAAGAACATGAGTTCTAGGAATTTTCAGTATGGAAACAAGATACAAAACATTTTTTTCTTTTTCTAACTTGTCTAATATTCATGCTAAAACTTGAATAGTCTCAATCTGTGCATTTGTTAGGGAGGAGATTCTTCTGATACGAACACTTCCTCTGGGAGACGCCCTTGATAATCACAATAAATTTCTGTTTCTCAAGATGACCAAGTCAGATGAGTACATTTGAGTTACAGCTAGAGTGGAGTACTAGGGCAGGTGAACAAAGAATTATGTAAAAGAGAGTCAAAATGCAGCTTGAAAAGCCACAATAAAACATTGCTATTTAAGAATATCTAAGTATTTTGGTTTTGTGAGGTTAAAATGTTGAAATACATTGGCATTTCTGGAGCTTTTTCTTTCTCATAACTTTCAATTTTCAAAACCTTCCTTTCTGGAAATAGAGAAAAAGTCCTGACAGTTTGACAGATTTGATTTGTGAAATAAACATTGAAAATAGAGTTCTGAGATGCATTGTTTTGGTGGTTTTTTTTTTTAGTAATAATTTCAATAATATGCTGGCTGCACTGTACATAATGCCTCCTGTTTTCTGAATTTGGCCCACTACATCAGAGGCGGATGTTGGTGGTATGGCAGTAGAGGTTGAACCTTCCCATCTATATTCCATTATGTTTCATTCCTGTGCAACAGATGGCAGTGGAGGGACAGATTGACCAAATGGTGTCTGATGTGATAATGTGTATGAAGCAAAGGTGTAGAACTGAATTCCTCCGTGTGAAACAAATGGTACACACTGGCATTCATCAGTTCTTGTTGAATGTTTATGGAGATCAACCAGTGGATATGAGCACAGTGTGGTGATGGGTGGTGTTTAAGCATTGGCAGCAACAGCAGCATTAAAGACAAGCCACATACTGGACAGCCATGCACAACTGTCACACACCAAAAGTATTTCAAACAGCTCACCTGCAGAAATTGGCTAATAGCGGTGACTGTACTGAAAAACAGTGTTATGTAGCTAAGCACCTACTCTATCAAATAGTGTTGTTGTGCTCTTTGTATCTGTTGTAGTTTCCATTGAAGTAAATAGGAGGCATTGCTTTTGGAGCAGCATACATATTAACAGATACAATTAGCACATGAATTAGGGTTTTTTTTGTTTGTTTGTTTGTTTGTTTTGGTAGTAATTGTAGTAGAGAAGGACCCTCTTGCATTTACAATGAGACCACCGCCATTTAAATAGTTCTAGTTTATTTAGATTATATTACTGAAGCAGAAGTAAAGTGCTATGTTCTGATTTTCAGTATTTGCCCTATTGCCAATAAGTAATGAAATGCTGTTTGTTTTTCTCTAGTAAAATAAAAAAAAAATTGGAATAGATAACACATCTTTCTCATTCTCTTTTCCCCTTCTTAACTCTTAATGTACTAATTGAACTATTTATTTGTTTTTAATAGGACAGTGATGGGGACAAGAGTGATGATAACTTGGTTGTGGATGTATCCAATGAGGTAACTTTTTAAAAATTTTTATTGTTTTAATATTGTCCCAAAGGAAACATAAAGGAAAAATGCATTTTCCTTAGATTAAAAAAAACAAAAACAAAAAACAAAAAAAAAAACAGTGGAATATAGTAAAAATATGCAACAATTGTCCTTTTTGTTAGTTCTGTATTGATTATGTCTTCCTCCTAGTTTTAACTTGCTGTGGTCCTAGCTCTTCCTTCCCCTGCTTTATCTAGGTCTGTTCTCTCTGCACTTATTTTCTGACATTTCATAGCTGTTCTGTAGGGGAGAGAGTTGTGATGTGCAGGGGCTGAAGTGGCAAACTGCTGTCTCCAAATGAAGAAGGAAAACAATACTTGATCTAATGTTTAATAGTAGGAATACCACTGAAACCATTTTTAGGGGCTTAAAAATTACTAGTACTTTGACTACCTACTCTAAAGGCAGCATTTTCCATACAGGCATATTTAGCATGAAGTCAGTAAAAATCAGAATTGAAATCAGTCCACAACATTTCCTAGAGGTAGTAGCTGCTTTATTGTTTTTTTTTTCCTCCAAGAGTGAGATTTATCTGTGCAGTCAGGGTGAAGGAACTGGCTTTCCATTCCTTCATCTTTTATTTCACACAACAAAAAGATGCAGGAGTCCTAACTATGTTGGAGAAAATCATACACTGTGAAAAGCACAGGAAGAAATGCTGGAAGGGAATGTGTTCAGTACCTCCAAAAGCCCAAACGATTTCAACCAAGTAGAAAAATGTGTATTCAGTTAAGGATTTCAGTAATCATTTCAGAAGTCCTGGTTAAAATGAAAGTGCTCAATAATCAGCCAGTAGACTTATTGCCTCCTCATGAGGACTGCTTAATTCCTGCTGCTATTCTGATGAGCCAGAGGAGCTTGGAAAGCCTACAGAGCTGATGGTGTTGTAGCTTGCTGGGCAGCCTGTTTTGGATTAAAGTAAGTGAAGAAAGTGCCTCTGGAAGACAGAAAGAAAATCGCTTCAGAGATGATTGCAATTTTTATGCAGATTTAAGAAATGAAATAATGGAATTTAGAAATAATAGATATACTATCTAGATATACCTTATATATTGTTGTATAAAATCTGCATCTCTCTCTTTTTCTGAAGAAAAAGATGAGCAAGGTGCATATTCCCTAAAAAATGAAATTAAATGAATGTCATTCCTATTGAAATGGTTGTTTTCACTAGCAGCACATAAAGAACATATACGGAAGTAGTATAAGCTCATTGCAGTTATTTTAAGTCTTTCTTGTTCATATCAGTTGTCATGCATGCTTGCAATCTGTGTAAAGCTAAGTGCAAACTAAGGCAAGATCTACGCTTGGAATCAATTTATGATATGTGTTTATGGTTTATGTAGTGTGGAATAAGTCCAGATTGCACTTAGTTACATCTATAATTGATGAAAGGATTTAAGGGCTTTTTTTTGTTTCCATAGAGATAGAAAGCAAAATACTGCTTCATTCAAATATACTGTTTGAGTTCTCGGAATTTTTTTCCCCAAATTGATTCTTTAGTTGTGTCGAGTACCAGCTCTTAACGGTTCTGTGCTGCTCTTCCTTTTCCATTCTTTTAGGATCCTTCATCTCCACGGGCAAGTCCTACTCATTCACCACGTGAAAATGGTATAGATAAAAGCCGCTTGCTGAAGAAAGATGCCTCTAGCAGTCCAGCATCTACAGCCTCTTCAGGAAGTTCCACTTCTCTGAAATCCAAAGAAATGAGTTTGGTGAGTATTGTAAACAGTCTGTTCTCTTGAGAAATGTTCTTTTTCCTGTAAGGTCTGACTCTCCATTCTTCAGCAACTACTTTTTTGCAGAAAGTGTATGGCTGTAAGAATCTGAAGTACTGTTCTACACCACTCCAGTACTACTGAGCTTTTTCCTCAGGAATAATTCCTTCTTCACGTTGATTTCCTGTATCTCATGCATTTCTGTCAAATAAGCTGTAAATTTATTAGAAAACACAAGATTCAATTGAAAATATTGTTTAAGAAAAAACATGATTGTGCTTTAAGTCTTTTATGGATCTGAATGTAGTCAGTAACATGTTCCCTAGGCTTTTATTAAATTCTTCTAAATGAACTGCTGCTGAAAAACTTTTCAAAGAATAACTAACTTGGCACGATTTTATGTCACAGTTTCTTTTATTATTATCAACTGTGGTGGTACTCTGTTTTCACTTCGATTCACTATGTCCAGTAATTGTGATTTCACACTAAAATAATGTTGTGATGCATACTGTATTTTCCTGAAAAAAAAAAAAAAACTCTTGTGTACTTTTTAAATGCCAGTGGATGGAATTAATCAAAAGGACAGCATTTTTTTTTCACAAGTTAACATTGTCAGCATTGCGCGGATTTATGAAAATTGGCTGAGGGACTAGGTACTAGGTGCCCAGCATTCCAGCTGCTGTTGTGATAAATTGTGTAATATGGTTTGGATTAAAAATAATACTAATTTAATTTGTTTAATGATACCAGCATGAAAAAGCCAGCACGCCTGTTCTGAAATCCAGCACACCGACTCCTCGAAGTGACGTGCCAACTCCAGGCACTAGTGCAACTCCAGGACTTCGTCCAGGCCTTGGCAAGCCTCCAACAATGGACCCTCTGGTGAACCAGGCTGGTAATGCATGACCTCTTAAGTTTTTATGGTTTTAAGATTATTTAAATATGCATTTCCATGCAAATGTTAATCGAGTGTTTTTTCTTGATGTTGAGGACTTGATGAGATGCAGATGTTTGGATTATCAAGTATTTGAATATCTTTCTATCTTTCATTCTTCTTTGTTTACTTTGTTCTTTACCTTTTTGGAAATAGTCTGGAGACTGTATGCAATGAAAGATTTCTGAGAAGCTTCTAGTACTTAGTCTGAATGCAATTGCTTCTCCAGTTCTTTGTTTGAATCTATTAATGTTTGCTGCAGTATGAATCTTGATAAATGCAGAGGGAAGTTTACTTTTGCTATTCAGGCTGGTACAGCAGAGTTGTTTCAGACATGAGCTGTGTAAACCATGCCTGTCAGCTTTAGTGCTTAATTTGGCCATGGAGAGACTAATATGAACAGGAAAATATAGAAATGGAAAGGGCAATGCTAGAAGAGGTTGTTAGAAGTAATCCCTGAGTTCAGATCTCAGTAGACCTTATTTACACTGAGTGAAAAGAGGTGGTAGTAGTGATAAATTATAGGAATGTTTCTTAGCTGTGTGTGTGCGTGTGTGTAAGGGGAAGGTTAGGTACCAAAGTCTGAAATGAAAGGTCTTCTACTTTCTTCCCTGTGTGCAATGAAATCCAAAAAAACTACTTGCTTTCATTGTTCCGTAGCCGCAGGTTTGCGCACACCTTTGGCTGTACAAGGGCCATACCCTGCTCCGTTTGGAATGGTGCCTCATGCTGGCATGAATGGAGAACTAACCAGTCCAGGGGCAGCGTACGCCAGCCTGCACAACATGTCACCCCAGATGAGTGCTGCTGCTGCAGCAGCTGCTGTGGTTGCGTATGGAAGATCTCCTATGGTAGGCCACACACTGCATGCAATCTCAGTTGTGTGAGTTGCAGGTCACTGAGGAAAGCTACATGCTTCATTTAGCACTGATGAATTCCCAAGTTATAAAAGCGCCAGAGGCTTGGCTGCTTCACTGTTTGTTTCACTTTGCTTTGTGGATGGAGAAACCTGTATCTTGAGAACAAATAATCTTCATGTATTGATGTATGTTGCTTTTTTTCTCATTGGTGCTTTGTCTAATTAATAAATGCCAAACTGTTTGCTTATGCTTTAAATGAAAAAATGGTTTTGGTGGATACAAATCTCTTCACTCGTGCTGTGAACATCTACTTTTCTTTTGCTGAACAAGATTTGTGATCTGTACAGACACACCAAATTAATTTCCTTGTATTGTGTTCTTTTTGAGTAAATCAACATGAGGAGTCTTAAAGCTCTGTGATAAGGTGTGTTACAAGTAGTTGCTGTTGTGGGTGTAGTCACTAACTGGAGCATAGCAGTCGTCGCTGCTATCAATCGGAGTAACCTGGGAGCCTGATCCCACAAACATATACATAGACCTATCCACTTGTGAGTTTGCAAGATTGATCTTAAGCTTGTCATCTTCTGTAGATGAGGCTACTTTCTCAAACTGGACAAATTGTTGCATGAAAATGTTGAAATCCTAAATTGCATGCACTTCTTAAAGCAATAAGAATTCTATCTTGATTACAGTGGTCAGAATTAAAATGTATATTTGGTTCAGAATTCCTCTTTGGTAGTAGTGTTTGCTGAATGAGAAATTGCAAGTGTGATTTTTAATTTGCTTTTCATTGTCAGGTTGGGTTTGATCCTCCTCCTCACATGAGAGTACCTGGAATCCCTCCAAATCTTGCAGGAATTCCTGGGGGAAAACCGTAAGTAACTTTTTAACACTTCGGTAACAACTGCAATATTTGCAGAGAATACAAATGTCTTGTGTCTGTGAAGAAAAATTCCAAGGGACACAGTGTCTGCTTGTTCCAATGAGATTTTTTTTTTTTGGACTTCTTCTGGCAGTTGTTAGAGCATACACATTCTAGAATGGTAGCTGTCATACCCCCAGACAGATGTGCATGTAACTGTTTCCAAGGAAAAGCTGCTGAAGGTAAATCCTGCTTGTTTGTTTAAGTTTCTTGATCATAAAGGAAGTTAAAGGAAACATAGATGGGAAGATAGTGGTAAAATGTGTAAGGAAAAACAGTTTGAAAGTCAAATTTTGGCTGTACCAAACATGAATGCATAGTACTAACTCACAGACTCCTTGTCTGGCACTTGTTTTAAAGGCATGAGTATCCAAAATGGTTACTTCAGCAGCTTGTATAATCGACCAAAGTTTAAAATATGTTTGTATAAGTATGCAGCTGGAGAGCAAAAGATGAGGAATCTTTTGTGCAGCAGGAGACATATAGATGTAGGTTGACTTACACAACTACTTTTTATTGAAGAAGTTTAATTATTAGTGAAGGGATGCTTAAATAAAATGCTAATGTGATGTCCTGACTTACAGAGGCAACAGAAATAAATTCATGAAAAACTATGCATCAGTGTATTTATTTATTTTTCCCAGTAATTTAGTTTTAGTAGGATAGGGAAGCAGAGCTTATCTGTTTTCTTGGAGATAAAGGAGCAGAGAGAATTAAAACAATTTTTTGTCTTTGTTAGGACCAACTCATTTTTTGGCTTACCTTCACTCTTGTTAATCAGTCCTGACTTGTCTTTCAGAAAAAAAACTGCAGTTAGAGTAGCACCTCACAATCCAGGTACATGGTTTTGGAATCAACTGCAACCAGTGCTAAAGTGATCTGCTGCATGCTGTCTTCTGTACCAATCTATTACAAGAATTTTGGGAATTAACTGGTTTAATTTTTCCTTCTGCTACTTCAGGAACAAAGCAGAAACTACTGTCTAATTTATAAGACACATGATTTAGAAAGTTACATGTACACACACACATATTTTTTTGTCTTCATATTGAACTCCTATTCATACTTGTTGTCAAGCAATACAAGTTGTCAGCAATTCAGACACCCTTAAAAGTGTTCACCGCTTTGCAGGCAAAAAGACATGCGCTTCCTTGTACTCTTGTAGAGCAGTATGAAAGCAGAAGACTTCTTATAATAGCCATCCTAGATATGTCTTTACTGTTACCCACCACGTTTCTGAGAACTGACATAGCTAACTCTTGGTGAGAAACCTGTTAGATCTTGGGTTCATTTGAAGTTGGTGGTATGTTGACAAGACTACTGATGTGAGGTGTCTGAGTTAGTGTTATGTATCAGATGGTAGTGTGTTTAAATTTAGCACAGGAAGGAACATGCTTTGTTCTTAAAATATTCTTCTGTTAAGGGTCAAACTCATTCTTGCTGACTTCAGTAGAATTTGGCATTCTTACATAAAATATTTTTGGAAATCATATAATGTGATGGCCGTAAGCTTTTACTTCTAACCAAATGTATTCACAGGCTTTCAGTGACATATTCCATTATTCCATTATTCCATGCCTAGCCATATAAACTATGAAACCCATTTTTGTTCAGTCAGGATTGTTCTGTGATTAAGTCCTAATCATTGCACTTCTCAAGGCACAAAAACAGTGCTTGTGTAACATTAAACTTTGTATTATGTTATTTTATAACCAAATTATAGTCTCTGTTAATTTTTTAATTTAAAGTGCTGTTCAGCACTTTATTCATACTGCTTCACAGATCACTAACTTTGAGACATAGTTTCTACTCTTCTCTCGATTTGATTGATGTGTTCCATAGTGTTTTTCACAGTCATAGAGCAAGTCATTTCCTGTAAAGGAACTTATTTGCTTATCTTCATTATATGTGTATAAAATCTAAAATTTCAGACACTGAACTCTTGTCACTCCAGTGACAACTTTAGAATCATCTATCTTCATCTTGTTTGGCTACATCTGTCTAGATGCAGTCCTAGCTAAGCTGCACTGCCCGCAGTTTTTTTTCGATAGCTCTTCTTCATTAGGCAAGTCTCCTGTATTGTCCATACAGAGTACAGGTGTTATATACTCAGGCAAACCAATCAAGGACTCATGGTTTATTTTCAGAATCTGCTTTACCTAAGATTAAAAGTAAGGTGTCACACTGAACTTATTTTTTGAGATCTGGAGTTTTAGTAAGTGAATATTTCAGATTAAGTTACTGAATCTCCAGCTGTAAGTATACATGCGCTCACTGCTGCGTGATTTTAACAACAGTGTTGCAAGGACTGTTTGTTCACACATCCTTGCTTTCAAGAGAAAATCATTTTTCTACCCAAAGGAGTGACATGTCTGATAGCACCTAATTTTATTTACCCCTGTGCATTCTGGGATCTGTTAATGGCCTAGCTGGTTAGAAATCAATAGCCTCTGAAGAGTCTACTCCTAGTCTTTTATCTGCTCTTACCAAGTGAATATACTCTGAAAAGCTTGTCTGTTGCTTGCCTTGTTTTGTATCTAGGCTAGATGTCTTTACTACCTTGTTTTTATCTTCCTGAATGTGAATCTGACAGTTTTATTCCCTTCAAAATTACTGGCAAAATTATATGGGCAGTCGAGGTAGAAAACTAGAAATCTTGAAGTCTTCATTAATTTTGTATCTAAATAACTGAGCTAGGCTTTGCATTTGATAACAAATAGTTATTTATTTGCTGCTTATTAGCTTGTCCATATTAATTTGGTATTTCCATGTATGCTCATGTGGTCTCGTATGTTTTAATATTCTTGGTTTCAGTGTGTCTTCTCACTAGTAAGTTATTCTTTTCTTAGCAGTTGCTCTTGCTTTTTTTTTTTTTTTGTTCCCCCCAACTTTCCAAATTACCTTAAGTAATTATCATCTAGTCAGTAATTATCTTTTTCTTTGGTGACGGAAATCACTCCTATTTTGGACATACACATGTGATGTCAGAGTCTTACATTCTGTTTTTTGATACTTTTAATTATGCCATGTGCTACTGGTTCTTGGTATGTTGCTATCAACATGTTTCTTGCTTTATGTAGCCTTTCTAAAAAAGTAATAATTTAGCTTTTAGTATTCTTGTGGATTTCCCCAGAATGTGAACCACATCTTATATTAGTTGGATGAGCGACTGAGCATAGATTTTCAAGCTCATTGATGACATTTCAGTTCACAGCATTGATCACCTGGTATCTATAACTTTGAAATAATGGTGGTGCTGAAAACAGTCATGTTTCTCAATATTCATGCTTCAAATAAAATTACATTTCAAATGTTTTAGACAGACTCTGACAGAGATGAAAAAATTCTTTCCTGTTAGCAGAAAAGGGGAATTTCATTTGGTAAACATTAGCTTTTGCTCAAGAGAGGAAAAAAAAAGGAATTTTTCTGTTCACCCAATCATTCCATTTGTTCAATGAAAGTACAATGAGAAATATTTTAAAGGAGTGTTAATTTTATTATATTCTAGAATAAAAAATAGATTTTCCACTTGCTTTTTGATACTTCCTAAATGTTTCTAGAGACCAGTTGGTGGATGTGAGCAAGTGAGGGATGGGTGGTGCCTTTCAGCAGTGATGACAGTGACGATGGGTCACCTGCATTGGTACAGATTTTTGTGAGTGCCATGCAGGCTCTTCTTTATCGCAGGCAAAAATGCATAGATAACAGTAGTACCTATGTTGAAAAATAGTGTTTTGTAGCTGAGAATTTGCTCTATCAAATAGTGTTTTGTGTTCTTTGTATCTGTTGTAGTTTCTATGGAAATAAATAGGAGGATGACTCATCATTTTGAAAGCACACTCATCAACAGAAGGAACTGTCTGCTTTTGTGTTCTGCAGCTAGACTTTTTGTGCCAGCTAAAGAATTCTGTTTGAATTCTTGAATAGAGAGATGAAGTGGAAGTTTTTTTTTTTGGTAGCATAGTATTCTAAGTTCACAGGAAGTGCATACATTACATCTAATTTTAAGATAATAGGTAGGTATTTTTAGCTGTTCTACCACGTTTTTGGCCAATGAATTAATGTGTAGGCCTGTTGTATAAAAATTTATTTGAAGAGGAGGAGGAAATAGTTCTAGCTCCTGTCAGCAAGTCAGAGAATAGTCTTATAACTGTTCTTTCTGTTCTAAATCTTGATCTAGTATTTGTTATTCACACCGGTACAGTTCTTCTATTGTATTATTTCAGTGTTTCCATAATACTTACTTAAGTATAAGTGTAAATATAGATATCAATTTATATGTTCTTAGAATCTTGGAATCATGGAATTTTTTGGGCTAGAAAAGACCTTTTAGATCATCTAGTTCCAATGCTCATGCTGTGGGTAGGAACACATTCACTAGATAAATTTGTCCAAAGCCACATCCATAGTGAAAAATTTCTTCCTTATATCTAATCTAAACCTATCATCTTTTAGTTTATAGAAACATTACTTCTTGTATCTGCCCACATAAAAAGTCATTATCCATCTCTTTTGTAAGCCCCCTCTAAGTACTCAAAGGCTGCAATGAGGTCTCTTTGAAGCCATCTCCTCTCGAAGTTAAAAAAGCTCAGCTCTCTCAACCTGCCTTTATAGGAGAGGTGCTCCAGCCTTCTTATTGTCTTTGTGGCCCTCCTCTGGACCTATTTTAATAGTTCCACATCTTTGTTATGCTGGAAGCCCCAGTCCTGGGTGCTGTACTCTGAGTGGGGGCTTATAAAGGCAGTGCAGAGGGAGACAGTCACTTCCCTCTCCCTGCTGGCTACCCCTCTTTTAATGTACCAGAGGATACTGTTGGTCTTCTGGGCTAGAAGTACACACTGCTGGGTCATGTCCATCTTTTCATCTATCAGCACCTCTAAGTTGTTCTCCAAAAGGCTCCTTTCAAGGAATTCTCCCAGACAAAAGGCCCTGCAGAAGTCCAGGTAGATGTTATAGATGAGTCTTATCAACTGATGCAGTCCTCTGTTATACAGGAGCACCATGCACAATCTGCCCTTCATGAAGGGATGCTGGCTATCTTAGATTGCCTCCATATCCTGCATGGGCCTTGACATGGGTGCTAAGAGCATTTGTTTCACGATCTTCCCAGGCACAAAGGTGAATCTCTCCAGCCTTCCATTTCCTACATGTTTCCTTCTTCTCTTCTCTCTAGGTAACCTAGGACTCTAGCACTTAAGCAGCCGATAAGTCATTTGCATTGCTGTCCCTGTTACTTTATTCTTCTGAAAGAAGCTTACTTCATCTAGGGAGTGCTGGTCTTGCAAATTATACAAGTTTCCTTTGGGTTCAGTTGTGAAGGGAACAGAAGAGAAAGGCATTTGAAATGAAAATTGCTATACCATAGTATGTAGTAGACATTACTAGACAGTGTTGATGTTAGCCTGACATACCACATGCCTTTGAACAAACAGGAACATTTACTTTTTTGTGTATTTGTATTGGCAGAGGAATAGGGATTTGGCAGTGTGTAGCCATTTTTCTTAAGCAGTGGATTGCTAGTAACTTGCGCCATAACAAAAGCTGCTTTGACTAAGTCTTTTTGATGACTGCCATTTTGAGGGCTGATGAGTCTTGGAAATGTATGCATGACCGTCATGATAAAAATGAAGCTTTTAATACGATGTAATCAGACTTCAAATGTTAATATACTGGTAAGATTATACTTAATTAAAAATACAATGAGATAAATTCCTGGCATTTCAGAGCAGAAGAGACATCTTAATGCTTCAGTGCGCATGGAACACTTCAAAAATGTTCCTATTGTCTTTTTCTCGCCCCATTTCAACAAGAAATGTGAAAGCTGTGTATATGCTCAGAGTCATTTCAAAACACCAATTATTTAAGTGTTTTGAATTGAACAGAACATTTAGGTTGTAATCATCTGTAGGATGGTTAAAAATAAAAAAGTACAAGTGGATTAGTCATCTTGAATGTAATAGGAAGAATCGCTCAGTACTTGTTTAATTGTTTTTCTTATGTCCATGATAAAAACAAGGGCAGGCTGAAACTTCAGAGTTTTGCAGTTTTTTCTGCTCTTACTATTAAGAAAAAAACAAATTGATCTGTAGCCCAGGATGGGGCCTAGCTTTTAAGCCTCACAAATGCTGTGAATCCTTAGTTCTGTACTGAACTTGAGCAGCTTCAGCCTTGAGCACTTTTGTTGCTACTCTTCCTCCTCACTTATCCTATGTCTCACCTGTTTGGTGAATAGCTTCTCTGGGACAGTTCTGTCTTAACTTCTCTTCACAGAAATGGTACAAATGCCTCTGTCAGCCTATATTGTTATGTAATTCTTTATACAAAAAAAAAAAAAAGGGGGGAAAAAAGGGAAAGAATCACATAAACACCAGGTTGGAAAAGACCTACAAGATCACTCAGTCCAACCATCCACCTGTCACCATTAGATCTCACTATACCATATCCCTCAACAAGAAATCCAAACATTCCTTGAACGCCTCCAGGGTCAGTGAATCCACCACTTTCCTGGGCAGCCCATTCCAGTGCAAGGATTCCATAGGAGGAGGTGCATCTGATACACTTTGCAACTTGTATACAAATAAGGGAGTAAACTTCCTTATATGTCATTTCTCATAAGTTTTATTTGTCACCTTTTTTGTTTCCTCATTCTCTATTTGTGTGTTCTCTGAGCATATCTTCAGTTGACTAGTCCAACCACAAAACATGAATAAGGTACAGGAATTGTGTGTGTATGGACTTGACTTCTTCTTTGGTTTATAGCAGTTACTGTCAATTACCTTTTGCCCTTCCCCCGTGGTGAAGACTGTGGTACTGCTTTGTCTGACGCTATCTTGTGTTCTGTATGAAATAAAAATAGAGCCTTCTCTATTTTCTTCTGGCTCTGAATATCTTCTCAGCTCCTAGGCATACTTAGTTGCTTTAGGAAACAAGCTCAAGTACATTGTGATATCTATTATAGATTCAGAAATCTTACTTGTTCCTTTCTTTCAAACTGTGCAATACATGGAAACATACAATAAAAAACTTGAAAACTACACACTTAGAACAAAAAATTAATTGAATTACCTACTCTTTCATCTGTTGAAGATCAATGCAATGCTTTAACTTGAACTGTAGTAACCAAAGATTTATGAGGAAGATTTATTTGGAAAAGAATGCACAGACCTGAGAACAAAAATAAATTAGAAAAAAAAATAACAGTATAATTGGGAGGAGGTATCCTATTAGTAAAAACATTACTTATTTTTCACCACTTTGCTCTCTTGAATAAGAAAGCAATTAGTGTAACAGCAGTATCTCACCAGAATAATACAAACAGCTTTTGCAGTAGTATTTTTATTATTTTTAAAAACAAAGAAAAAATGCCACCCTGAATCTGAAACCTTTTTGTTGCTTTCTGTGCCCTGGTCTTCATGTTGAACTGATTTTAAATGTCACAGTGAACACAAATAATTCTGTGTACTTTCCCTAAGGAGTAATGGTTTATCACTGCAGGGACTCAGTTTCTCAACCTTAAGTTTTCATATGCTTGAGATCATGCAGTGTGTAAATACAGACATTTCAGAAGTGCTAAAACTACCTGGGAAACAGAGCCTTTCAACTGTTCCAAAATACTTATTCAAGATAATATAATTATGAGAAGATTGTGTCAGCTTTCTGATGTAAGAGCGTCATGTAAGAGCACTCTGCATTTCCATGTTGTGTACAAAACTAGTTCCCAGCTGGAAATAGAGACTTACTAGCACAGCAAGTGCTGATGATGAAGATGATGTGCTGAAATAAGTTGAGGACAAGTTTAACTTCAGAGTTCACGGTAACAGGTGCAAGCCTCATGGAACACATCTGAAAGATGGTCAGGAAATGCTGCTGTATGACTTGTGCGGAGACTCAGAACCACTGATTAGAAAGCAGCAGCTGAAAGGTCTTTCAACAGCTCCAGTAGCAGAGTGATGGCCATGACCTTGATTCGTAGAGTTAATAGGAGATTTTAATCTGCTTCCCCACTGCACAAATAGTTTAGTTGAAACACAAAAGCTGAACACGGTTGTTGTTTCTTTCTTTCTCTGATCCTGATCTTTCTCTGAGGTTTCATGTACCTCATGGTATTAGGTCCTGTAGCTTTTCAAATCTTTTTCTCATGAAAATTAAAGAAAACAAAGTACTACCTTTTTCTGTAATTTTTGCACTATATCTTTGCTGATATATTTTTTCTTCTCCTTTCTTTCCTTCCCCGAAAAGAGCCTACTCCTTTCATGTTACTGCAGATGGCCAGATGCAGCCTGTTCCTTTCCCTCCTGATGCCCTCATCGGTCCAGGAATCCCTCGCCATGCCCGTCAAATCAACACTCTGAACCATGGGGAAGTTGTGTGTGCAGTTACCATCAGCAACCCCACGAGACATGTGTACACGGGTGGCAAGGGGTGTGTCAAAGTCTGGGATATCAGCCAGCCCGGGAATAAGAGCCCTGTCTCTCAGCTCGACTGCCTGGTAAGTGAACAGGAACTAATGTAGAAGGGTAACTTCTCCTTGGAGACTCAATAAGGAAATAGCTGTCCTTGTCTGGATTGTGTTCATATTATAAGGAAATAGCAGGCAGTTCTGTTTCCTGCTGTATGTATTTAACTGACTTTTTTTTTAAACACTGAACAGGTGGTGTTTCAGAGAAGTGGACTGGTTTGTTTAGTGATAAATGTCATTACTAAGGGTCAAATAATAGATAAGACGTTTGTGAGTACAGCTGATTATTTCTCCATCCAAGTTGTGCTGGTGTTTTTTGCACTGCATGGATTTAAAAGGAATCCTGGCTGAGACAGAGACATTCCATGCTGTTTCGTTCATGCCAGAAATCACATCCTTTTTTGTAAGAGGGTAGTGGCTGTATAAAGGAGTAGTGTGACAAGGTAGCAAGGTCACTTTGTATTGCTGCACTTCTGCTGGTTTCTATTCATATCCATCAGGTGCAAGCTGATTTATTTGCAGTTAGTTGAAAAGCTAAATCAAAAAAGCTGTTAAATAAAAGTGCTTCTTACACTAAAGGAGTGTAGAGATTTGGAAAGAGACAAATCAGTGTGATGTTAACTGAGAAGGTGTAATGTCATAAAACACAATAATATATATTATGGATGAAAGTAATTCTTAGATGTTGATCATAATAAATGTGCTAATTTTTTTCCAGCTTTTACCTCTCATTTGATGATATGCCCATGTCAGTTGTCCAGTAGTAGTATATGTATGGTTAAATATGTATTCTGTCTTGTGACAGGTTTGTCTCTGGATGCTCAGTCCTAGTTGCCTTCATTTTAGTTACAGATCTGTATGGCTGCCAATAGCTAAGCTGACATTCCCAGTGCACTGCTTGCTGCTCCCTCTCTGTGACTGTAAAACAAACAAATGGGCAAAACCCCAAACAAAACCACCATCCCCAAAAATAAAAAAAAAAAAAACAGAAAACAACCACAAACAAACCTTAGCAGTAGAAGTGTCTTTGATTTCTACTTAGTGTTGTGGATTTTTTTGTTTTGAGTTACTGATCCTATCCCTGCATTTCCTAGAGGACTGTTACTATGTTACGCAGCCAATATGCTTAAGAAGTCAGCTTTGTAATATGTAAAGATTGAAATCTTTTCCATCTCTAAATCTTTTATAGTATCTCTGTCAGCAATAGTATCAAAAATGTGAAACCACTATGAGTTTGACAGGAGTGATGCTGAGCAAGAGAACTAGCATAAATCCAGGACTAGTAGGGGAATAATTCAACATTTTCACTTTAAAATGATGAATGTAAGATATCATTTAAAAGAAAACTCTAAGATCTGAAAGATATGAGACTTCAACTGTATTTTCATAAGTGGTTGCTTAGATATCATACGAGAAGTCACTTTGTTTTTTGCAAAATATTCCAGTGATGCTGGTGATCATAATTGATGGAGTGCACTTTCTCAAATGCAAGCTTACTTTTGGCACTGTCTTAGTGTAATGAGATGGAAGACTTGCAATTCATCAGGTTTGAGAAAGTTAGTAATGAGAAGTAGGCATTTGAAACCTTTTAGGGCATACTGATTTCTGTTCTGTACTTTGGCACTGGAAAAAATTGCTTACTGTTTAAAACTTGGATGCAGTCAGAATCTCATTAGTGGTCATTATTGGCAGGCATGTATTAACGTAACGGAGGTGATTTGTGTTGTACAGAACAGAGATAACTACATCCGCTCTTGTAAATTACTGCCTGATGGATGCACCCTAATAGTTGGCGGGGAAGCCAGCACATTATCCATATGGGACCTGGCAGCGCCAACTCCTCGTATAAAAGCAGAGCTTACATCCTCAGCTCCTGCCTGCTATGCTTTGGCTATCAGCCCTGACTCCAAGGTGTGCTTTTCCTGCTGCAGTGATGGGAACATTGCAGTGTGGGATCTGCACAATCAGACATTGGTCAGGTGAGTATTACTTGTTTTCTGTTAACTTTAATTAATTAAACTTAGTCTTTGAGCAGCTAAATATTTATCTCGCAGAATAAAGGTTCAGAATAGCAAAGTAAAAGAGTCTTTCTTATCCAAAGAATTAGGTTGGTGCTCAGGTTGGGCTAGAAACTAATTCTAGTAGCCTGTCCTAGGAGCTGTTCTTTGAGGGCCTTTCAGGTTGTTCTCTAACCTCTTGAAGTCAGTGTGAAAGCTCTTGTTGGTTTCATGTACTTGAATGTGTCTGCAAATTTCAACAAGCTAGATTGTGATTAACACAGACTGAACTTGCTATGTAGAGAACTCTGTGAGGTTTCTTGTTTTCATTTACCTTAGGTCTTTCTAAGTAATAAGGAAAAAATTCAGTTTGTAATTAGTGATGACAGGTAATAAAATTAACCTTCCAAAAGTAGTTGAAAACCTAGATCACTTCATTTTTTTTGAGGAAAGTATGAAGGACTGATGTTTGATGTCTTCATAAAAGAAAAATATTTGAGTTCTGGAAGACGAATTTGATCTCTAAAGCTGTGAGGATGATTTGTGGAGGCTATAATAAATATATTGCTGTGTATGCTACTTGTGAAATACTTCCTTTAAACCTTGATTACAGTGTCTAGCAGGTCAATATTTAGCATCAGTGCTATGACAGAAAAAAAAAAAAAGCAAATGTGTGAAATAACAACTGGTTGTATGATTTTAATAGAAGGTGACCTTTGGTTCAATCTTGCTAAGGCTGTGATGGCTTACAATATTACAAGAATGGAGAGCCTACAATGGAAAAGATCATGATGTTTTAGAGGATTAGAATGATACACCAAAGAAGCTGCTTTGTCTGCTGTGACTTAATGAATTTACTGTATATCAATAGTAAGCCTAAATTGATGTGCAATTTAAGTGAAAATTTGACTTTCTGCTAAATTTCTATGACAAAGAGAACACCCTTAGTTATATAAAGTCTTCAATTTGCTTTGTATGTGCTTAGGCCCTGAGAAGGGCTCTTTCTCCATCTGTCACTGACTTGAATAAATAGTGTTAGTTACTGTTTCTCCCATCGCTCACTTGCTGATCATTCTGATTGATAACATGTGGAAACTGTGAAACACAATGTGCCATGTGACCTTCCTATGGCAACTCGTGGTAAATCACCTCGTTCACTCTCAGACAAGTTGCCTTGTTCTCCCTTCCCTCCACCTTTGACATTGAATTTTCTTATATTTAATTGCCGATGAAAAACATGGATGGCTTCTGCCAAAGGATTAAGGAAAACTTGTTATGACCTTTTGGTTGCTGAAAGCTGGAATCTCCTAATGAGAAGATTTTGAAACAAAGTGCATTGTCTAGTTATTTTGTGATCTCCTGATCTCCTGCCAGAGAATGCAACTTCGCTGATTCAGCAATGCTTGTGCATGACAATTTGGGTCCTTCTCTGGATCCCTTCACTATTTATCATGTTGACTTACAGACAGGGAAAACAACAGTAGTTGTTTTCTGAAACTGGAGGAGCTTTATTCCGTCAGCATTTTTTTTAATCTATGCTGTCTTTAATTGCTTTTTAACTGTAGTTACTACTACACTCAAAAAAAAAAAAAAAAAAAAGAAACTTCTCAAAACATGACAGAAAATATTTGTCCATCTATCTGTGATGCAGTCAATTTCTGTAGCACCTGGAAAATATTTTTGTTGTATTTCATGCCAAGTCAGAGGGAGGGGCTGATATTTGCCCATCAGCAGACACAGATGACACACATGCAGAGTCCAAAACTAACACCACAACACTGTTTACCTTGAGCTCTGGCAGGAAATCATTATTCAATCTGGTTTGTTTTATCAGGCAATTCCAGGGCCACACAGATGGGGCCAGCTGTATTGACATTTCTAATGATGGTACCAAACTCTGGACAGGAGGTTTGGATAACACTGTCAGATCCTGGGACTTGAGAGAAGGGAGACAGCTACAGCAACACGACTTCACATCACAGGTAACTGGATTTTTCTGCAACACACAGGGGAGCGGAACAGGCAAGCATTTAGGAAGAAGGCTGAGAAACTACTCCAGTGCAGCTGACGAATTTTAGATTGTTTGCTTTGTTTGCTTTGACTATTTACAGCATGATACTTTGGAACTTTCGTATGTTTAATTACTTTGGGACAAAACAATAGGCTGACTCTACTTTCTGTCCCTGTTTTTCCTAAGTTAATAGGCAAGAACAGGGGTTATTTGGTCACTAGAATTTTGACAAGCAGTCTCACTATTGAACTTTGTCAGTTCTGTTTCTATGCCCTTCCTTCTTCCTCTCCTCATTCTTTTGGCCACTATAGGAAAAAATAAAAACTGTAAATGTTGTTTGATTTTCAGATATTTTCCCTTGGTTATTGCCCTACTGGTGAATGGCTAGCCGTGGGAATGGAGAGCAGCAACGTGGAAGTGCTACATGTAAATAAACCAGACAAATATCAGCTGCACCTTCATGAGAGTTGTGTATTGTCACTCAAATTTGCTTACTGTGGTAAGTTTCCACGAAGGCAGAACTGGAAGTCTGGACTCTTAATTCATACTGCCTACATAAGTTATTGCACAATCATAACTTCTGATAATTAAAATTTATTTAGTGTCTATGTTTCTCAATTTGTGAATAAATAGCTCTGCTTTATGAATATAAATATACTTGCCTACAGAGAACTGACTTTTTTATTAATTTATTCAAAGTCTGCTGTAAAGGTTGAGCTGTGTGTAAAAGACTGTTTCTACTTCATGTGGCGATTTCTTGTATGTCATATGCTACAAAAGCATGAGGCATCCATGTTGATTCTAAGCAATAATACTGTATTGATTAGTGGTGAGAGCTTTGTGTTGCTGCAATTAGCCATCAGATTTCAATCTGAAACAAAATCTGTCAGATGTCTGCCTCATGTGTTTTAACAGTTCTTCTCTTTCACATTCTAGGTAAATGGTTTGTGAGTACAGGGAAGGATAACCTTCTTAATGCATGGAGAACTCCTTATGGAGCCAGTATATTCCAGGTGAGGATGATACTGCTTTTAAAGAAATCACTAGTACTCTGCAAGTCCCACGAGTGGACACAAATCTCTTTACCTATGTGATCCACTCGAAATGGGATACTGAGATGAAGGTAGTAGACTTTTTTTAATCAAGTAATATATTTCTATTTTTCTTCTAGTCCAAAGAATCTTCATCAGTGCTTAGCTGTGACATCTCTGTGGATGATAAATACATAGTCACTGGCTCTGGAGACAAAAAAGCTACAGTCTATGAAGTTATCTACTGAAAATATGATGGGGATATAACTTTTAGAAGTTGAACTGGGCCAAAATTGTTCTTAATTGTAGAATTAGAAAGGTTTGCCTTTTAAAAAGGAATTAAAGTATTGAGGTTCCAGACCTTGTGATGAAGTTACTTCGGTTTTTCAAAATAGAAGGCAACATCCAGCAACTTAAGTATTGGCTGTGCGGACCAAACACAACACAGAAGCAAGATGGACAGATGTAGCCTAGGTTTTTGACATAGTTTTAAAAGCCGAGTCTGCTAAAGAATGTTGAAGCCTTTTTATTTTTTCTCTTTCTTTATGACCTCATGCAAATTGTTCTCATTGCCTGAATATGGGGATAACCTTTCTGTTCCTTGCAATTCAATTTGCATCCTGTCCTGTGTAGAGCAGTGGTGTCTCAGATGAACTTGTTTCCTGGTTTTGCATCTTGTGATATGTTTTTGTATTTTTGTTGAAGGTCAAACATTTGTATAAATTGTAAATATATTTAGTTTATTACAGTAAAGGCTTTAGTATGAACAACCACTCTTCTTCTCCCCTTCCTCCTCCCACTCTTCTTCCCTCCCACTCCTCACCCCCACTTATTTAAAAGACCTTTTGGGGATATAAGTACCTTTTTAGAAGCAAAAGCAAACACTATGTATAGTTTGAAAACTGTGTCTTATTCTTTATAACTCTTCCTAGATTCCTTTATCATACTTCAAAGTAATTGTTTTGACATATTAGGATATCAAATCCAGTAGATACTGTCTTGTGCTGCAGGAAAACTAAAAGGCAATTTTGTACTAATTATAGTGTAAATACAAAAATTGAACATTTCATAAAGTTGTGCAGTTTATTTTAAGTTTGTTGTGATGTCCCATGTATATGTTCTTTGGCAGAAGCATTAATATGTGCCTGATCATAATTCTTGTGGTCATCTCTAGAAGAAGAGATTTCCTTCTCCTTTCTCCTTCAGCTGAACAGAATTCATGAAGGACTGCGTTTAAACTAAGTACATCAGAGGCTTTATTCATTTAACTAAAAGTGTCTGTGATTAAAGAAAACTAGATAAGTTGTGTCCTTCATATTTTACAGAAGAAAATAATCATTTCCTTTTTTTTTTTTTTTAATGGCTTGTTTATACGTAGATACTCAGGTAAATATTAAAAAATTACCAAAGTGTGGGTTTTACAGGCGACCACTTAACTCACTTAACTGATTTCACAATACTTGCAGATCTGCAAGTAAAGCGAATTAACCTAAGTTAAACTAAGTTAAACTTGCTTCTTAATTTCTTGTGACCACGTTGACAAAGGATTTTTTTATTATTTTCAACGAATCTACTGTATAAATACATTAGAATTAATTTTCTAGTGTCCCATATTAGACAGGCCTATACTCTGTATTCCTATTGAGGAGTCTTTGAGTCCCTTCCACTGTTACATGTGTATGACATCGCCGAAGAGCTATGCTGAGCAGCCAGTTACCAAAGTCATACATCTTCAAATCAAGTTTTTTCAATGTTCTCGAGACAAATGGATGAGGAGAGAATGTGTACATTTTATTCTAGTAATGTTTTTTCAAATTAGATAAACAGAAGGATATCTTTAAGTAATGCTTAAAATTGCACAAACTGAGAGAGGTTAAGACACATTTTGAATAGCTGCTTTTTCACTTTGCTAGCATTTGACAATGGCTTATATTCTCTACATTTCAAAGACTCATAACCAGGAAGAAACAAGTTTGACTGACAGATGCATGGATATGGATTTTCTCATTTGGGGTCAATTTTTTTCTATAATTTCCAGTCTGAAGAGACATCAGTTTTCTTTTCAATTTACATGACCATTCTACAGAAACCATTTTATAGCATCTAGCATTACAGTAGCATTGGAATATTAACTTAGCGTTTGGAATATGAAATGTTAACCATTCAGGATAATCTAGTTTCCTAGACATACAAAATCAATACTCTATCAACTGGTATCTGTGTAGTTGTCTATTGTTATTTTGTATATAGGAGTAGGAAAATTATAGACCAGCTTTAGGTGATGATGATGTGCCTTTCACACAAGTGAGGCAAAAATAGAATCACAAGGCTTTTCCCAAAAAAATTGTATTTGCTATATTGAAATACTGTGAATTGTTACGCTATTCTAAAATGGGAAGGCTTAAAAAAAAAAAAAAAAGTTTGCACTAAGTTACTTGATTTTAGGCTGACCATGTTTTAATTGTGAAGTTCTTTCAAACATCTGACCCTTCTGATAAGAATTGACTTTGCTTAGCAACTCTAGCCAAGGTCAAAGCATCCATTTGCTCCATTTGGCACATTTGATTGTCTTCCAAATTGCCATCTAATTGGCTTACTTCATAAATATTCTTTTGTCTTTCTTAAGAGCTGATAGAAGAGGATCCAAAAATGCAACTATGATAACATACTTATGTATGTTTTGAAATTAAACACATATATGTAATGGTTCTGCTCTTTACTTGCACCATAGTGCTTGTCAGTGAGACCAAATTTTGGCAATCTAAGAGATTCAAAATGACAGTGTCAAGAAAATCATGATGTATCTTTGCCCTTCTTGTTAACTTTTAGAATGTACAATGAGTCAGCAGCTTTGGAACAAGGCATTATTTTGCATGTGAATTAATTTAATCACATTTGTACCTTGGTTTTTTATATTGCAATCAACTTTCTTTCACCAGTCAGATCTATTTTATGCCTTGGATCTGAAAACATGGGGACTCATCCAACACCCATGCTCTCAAGTTCTCATTTCACATGTTTCACTTTATATTTCACAAACATTTTATTTTCATTTGTCACAGTCGAATCTCTTCCATGTACAGCCACATTTTTAAATGAAATGGTGCAGTGGGTGGAATCTTGGCATGTATGTCTGTTTTTGCTATTGTCTCCAAGACTTAAAACTTGAGAGAGCTTCTGTAAATTCTTGTAGCCCTGTAGAAAGTAGTGGGTGGAAATGACTCCTTAAATGAAGAAACAGACCAAATCAGACCAGCAGTAACAGAGAGGGCTCTGGGAAAAGGAAATGGAAAAAGAGGGTGCAACAATAACGATGGGGTAGGTAATTTTTATTTTTTGTCAGTTTAATTGCAATCCTAAAAGATTCCTTTAATTAGCCCCTTTCTGGGACAGTCTTTGTTTGCTGGGTGGCCCTCAGTATTCAGACGGCTGAATGCCACTCTGGCAAAAAGTAATGCCAGACAGAGCAGAAGTGGGGAGTCCTTACAAATGACATATTGGATGTCAGTATAAACAATAACTGATGAACTGGAGATTTGTGGTAATATCAGTTCAACTGAACAAAATTCTTTGCTCATTCTAAGTACAATGTAGTGTATGTGTACTAGACAACAAGTTTTGTAAGTCAGTTGTGCATAAAATCATGATAATATTTCTCAATGTGGCAGAGTACATGTTTTCTTTATAATTCCAAGTAAAGATATTTCCCTGCATCAAACTGCAAGCTTTTGAGAATTTGAGAGAGAATTTTCATCTGCATTAATTCTTTTCAACTCCTTTGGTGTTTCAAAAGCTTTTTTCTTTTTAAAGGGAGGAGAGAGCAAGAAAGAAACATGAAGATCATATTGTTAATTTTTTTTTTTTTTTTTGGTAATAGAAACATCAAATTGGAATCTGTCATCACATACATGTTTTTGTGTATAAATAACTGGCCATATCTTTTTATGTCTCATCTTTGGATTGGTGATAGAGGTAGAATTTTCAGAAGCATCAAAGTAACTGTAACATAAAACTAGACTGACAAATACATGGTTTGGTTTGGTTTTGTTTTTTGTTGTTGTTGTTTTTTTTTTTTTGTGTGTGTGTGTGTGTTTTTTTTTTTTTTTTCCCCAAGAAAGAATTACATGATTCCACTAATTAACTAGTGGAGTCATGCAATACAGTTGCAGACCTTCATATTTTCTGTTATATTGATGAAATTTTGATTTGATGTGAGAAGTTCTATAGTTATATTAATTAAGAAAGGTGGATTTTACTATTTGCACGCTCTAGAAGAGTTTTGAATCCAGATTCCAAACTTATGGTGTTTATTCCTTGGGCCACTTAGCTGGAGGAGCTTGCAATCTTCTCAAAACATTTTTTTCCCCCATCAAAAGTGCTTAGAAATAATGTCAGAATATAGGTGTATACAGGATTTGAGTCATGATATCCTGCCAAAGAAAGGTCAATTTATTACAGACTGGGAGATCTGCAGCAGCTCAAGTAGGACTTAGTGATCACCAGAATGAAAGAAAGAGCTGAACACTTTCTGAGAATACACAGAGAGGTGAAAGGAAAAAAGAGACACACTGTTCTCCCACCTTTTTCAGTGGTAGTTTAACACAAAAACCACCTAGAACAAGGTTTCAGTGTACAATTACACCAACTGCCATTTTCCCATGAAGTTGCTTAGATGTTTCTGTGTAGTAATTCAGGGACACACCTAAGAAAGGAGTGGACATTTCTATGACATTCATAAGCAGTCACATAGTTCAAAGAGGAAAGAATGTTATATCACACCCAGTTCTCAACATTTCCCATTACCTAGTATTTTTGTAGCACAAACTCAGCTTTCCAGCAATTGATAATCCTATTTTCAGCAACATGCTCCCAGATGTCCCATTGCAACTTAAGTGCTTTGTGCAGCATGGTAAATTTTGCTAGGGAAACCAGACATGCAGGAACTGGATGCTTTAAAAATCTGCACTGTGGATCTAACTTAATGACGTTTCTGAGAAGTCTACTCAGTTTCTGATGAACTACATAGGAGTACTCAACCACTCATTAAAAAGAAACAGTGCATTCTCTACAGTTCTTTGAACACACTTTAGGCACATGGTTGTTGGGATTTTTTTTTTTTTGTTTGCTTTTTTTGAGTTATTTAGTGTTTTTTTTCATGTTTTAAAAAATATGCATATGTACAATGTAACAAGGAAACATAAGGGGAAATAAGAGCAATAAATGAGGAGTATTTTGTTTTCAAACTGCAAAATGTTTTTAAAGATGTCATGCCTCGAAACAAAGGAACCGATTGCTTCTATAGTACATTAATTCTTGAGAGAGCTGTATTTTTTTCCTTGGAGTGATACTCTCAGAAAACTGAACATCAAAAAGCAGGTGATATTGAGACTCACATTAGTTATCCATTTCAAATTTGAGGATCCTCCCCCCTCCTCCATTCTTTATTGCCATGACCCACAGTTGGCTCATAGAAGCTGAACATTAGGCTTTGACCTTTCTGGCTCATGTACCAGGAATAATTTTGTCTAACAAGTCTGTTGGTGATGCATAGGCCACAGGAGAGTCTGGCTGAATCTTTTTGTGGATAGGTAGATAAATAGTGTCAGCCAAGATGTAATAATTTCCTTTACTAAAGCAAGCACCTAGAGATAAGATAGCATCATTGCTCAGTACTCATACTTCCATTGTTTGTGGAAATGCTGGTCAGTGTTGTTGACTCACTGTGGAAAAATCCTGTGGTGTTTCCTGAAGTAAAATGTTGATTTTGTGATTGTTTCTCTCCTAAAATTTCATATGCAATTTTTACGTTGATTCATAGAGAGGCACTGCAGGGAGCAATAGACAGTTGCTATTACATAGAGTTTGGCAAGGACTTTCTTTGTTATGTTTGCAGTAAAAAGGTATAGTATATCTTGAACCTCGTCTCTATCTCTGTTTTATGCCAAGAACGTGTGAGAGGTAAAGATAATGCACAGTTTGGAGATTAAGTAATCAAACATGCTATTATCCTTATCCCTTTTGTACACTTTGTCATTAATATAAAAGTGGAGATGATAGCTTGTAACTGAAAAATAATTAGTGCCAGTTTTCCT